TCAGTATAATTTAAGGCGCAACTATATGGTAAATAATATAAACATTAATAAACCCTGTCATAAACATAGTACGAAGTGTTATAAACAGGTAAATATAAGAAATATATATAAGCATACTGTAACAGTGTAGTTGCCTGCCGGAAGTGGCATACAGGAAGTTACTTATGGTTTGCCCGATAATTTTAGTTTCCAGGGTAGTTTTATTTTCGCAGGTGCTTCCGATTTCTTAGGTACTTCTGCTTTCTTAGGTACTTCTGATTTTCCAGATGATTCCGGTTTCACGGCTAATTGTGCTTTTGCGCGTAATTCCGGTTTCTTTGGCACTTCTGTGATTCCAGGTAGCTCCGTTTTGTTAGATACTTCTGGTTTCTTAGGTGTTTCCTGTTTCTGAGGTACATCTGATTTCCCGGGTGTCTCAGGTTTCTTAGGTACCTCTAATATCCCAGATGCTTCCTGATTGTTAGGTACTTCTGGTTTTCCAGGTACCTTCTGCTTCCCGGGTGTCTCCGGTTTCTTATTTACTTCTCCTTCTTTTTTTTCCGTTTCTGTGGGAGCTTCCTCCTTCTCCTTCTTCTTCCAAATTTTATCCAATAAACATTTCGCTGTTTTGGAGCGGCAGAAACATACTAGCACGCAGCAATAGATAATTGGAATAAGTATGGGAATTCCATACAGGAACGTGAGCGCCGAAAAAACGCTTGATATTGAAAAAAACGTGGTAGGAAGGGATTCTCGGAAAATGGGCATAAAGAATGAATAAAGCACTGTGGCGACTACTATAAGTATTGACCATGCTCTTCTCCCCATTTTACAACGTTTCAATTTCTGACAACATTCCTTCAGCTTGTTCTGCGCTGTTCCACCCTGTGGCTTCTTCTTTAGAGGTCGTCGATTCTGGACGTGCAACTTGGGTTTTAACTTGTTACGCATGTCATCGAACACCGTGTTCTTCACGGGACTACCCGTCGCACGGCCACCGTAAAAATTACGTTCTCCCCGTTTTGCTATATCCGTTCTATCACTCAACGACACGCTGGTCGTTCCAACTGCACTTGCATAGGTAGCTCCAACTTCTGTGCCATATTGGCTTGTGCCATTGCCCGATGATGTGCCTATTGTACTCGCCTGACAAGAATATAAAAAAAAGGGGGAATACATGGGTTTGTTATGGTGTATGTATACATGGATGTAGAGCGTGCAAATGGTAGGACGGTTTATAGTTGCTATGAAGGAGTTAAAGGCTTATCACAATAAATATGGTAACTCCCCCAAAATACAGTTGTTACTATCATACACAGTGAGCAATTTGCCCAAAACACAGAAATAGAATAAATATAGAGTGCTTCACAAGAAACGTCATTCTGTTTCTTCCTTTCCCTTTAGAAAATGGTAGAAGTGGCAATATATTGTTTATATATATATGAATTATAGAATCGTTTTCTCTTCCACATCTAGGTGTATAGATTATGCGTGTGATACTTCTCCCTATTGGGCGCTAGTAAATATTGATAGAATCAATTCCGTACGAGGTTTACTATTCTTACCTAAATACATAACTATGATTTCCATAAATAGTTCACGTGCAACCTAATATAAGTGAAGAAGGAAGTGCGAAAAAGCACAGTGAAGAAACCATTGTTGTATACATGCTGTACGGCGCAAAAGTTGACTAAAGGGGTCAACATTTTTCACAATTGCAGCATGGGCTCATGAGCGCTATGTCGCCGTTTGAACGGTGTAATGGGAGCAAAGAGCATATGCACGAGAGCAAAATTCCATATGTGGAATAACACTTTACTCTTCGTAAGTTAGGTATAATGGTGAGGAACATAATAAGCCTAAGATAAATTATACCCCTTTTACATATAATAACTGCAAAAAAAGTTTTTCGGTGTAGAGCCGCGGGCTCAAAGTTTGACCTTGTCAGTGTTTTTGGGGGGTCATTATTGTCACGTATTCGCATAATTATACATGTGTCGTGGCCGTTTATTATTTATGGGGGTCGTCATTTATATCGTTCTCAGGTTTTATTACGCGTAGTGATACATAATAAATGCATAAATAGTGTTTCACAACGTTCTTATGTGTGTATACCCGCATCTCTATCTTCTTTTTGACAAAGTGTTAATGGATATAATTAAGCGTGTGAGAAATATATAAATCACGGGTACATGTTCGGTGAAATTGTGGGCTTGGGGCTTAGGGTTTCTGGATTGCGAGATTCATGAATGCGGATCCAAGATTGTGAAGTTTCAGTATTGTAAGGTTTCAGGATTGTGTTGTTGCGGAATCCTGATTCAAGATTCACGGTTTAAGGCTTACTCTTTCAGAATTGTAATCTTCATGAATCGGGATTTAGGATTCAGGATTGCGTATTCAAGATTAAGGGTTTTATGGTTCGCAGTTTACGAACTTTAGGAGGCTTAAGATTTTAGGGCTTATTTTATTTTGTATTTTTTTTTCTTCCCGCATAATAAACCTTTATAATTACAAGAGCACATATATACCAATACTGCATACCATCGTACTCATATCCTTTTCGTATGAACACCCAAAAATGTAATATGATGTCACACAAGACCAAACATTGTTGCCACCAATGTTCAATGTATCCGGCATTTAGGGACGCACGTCTGAAGTATTTTCTTGTTTTTCCTTTTTTCTAAACGTTAGTAGTGTTTTTTTCTTTTTCCTTTTAAGGAGTAACTTCCAAATAGTGTTCAGTTGCTGCATATAGTCCCCTCACCTCTTTTGTTTAAGGGTAAGATGTGCGCGAGGAAAGACGCTAGTTCGTCCATTTTTCACTCGGTTATATTTGTGCGTGCTTGTGTGCGTTGTGCGGTTTTGTGTGCTTACTTTGCCAAGGAAAAAGAGCAGGATAAGGGAAGTGACGCATGCAACGAAGATAAGAATAGGAGAAGAAAGGAAGATGTCCTTTGCAGTAAAAATGGGGGGGATATTATCATCAAACTCATTAGTTGATTTCCCCACGGGTGTAACAGGTTTCCCATATGGTCCATAGGATCCACCTACACCTACTGTATATCTGCCAAAATTTAAGTCCAATCGCGGCGTATCATGTCTATTTATAGTGGAGGAACCCGATGTAGAGGACGTCCCGCCCCCTCCAGCTGCCGCAGGCGGACTTGGGGCACTACCTCCGGAGGAAGCAGCAGTTTGATCATTGCCAGTGCCGCCTTCAGCGGATCCGCTGCAACCCGATTGATCTGGGTTCGGGTTCGGTTTTGGTTTGGGTGGATTGAGAGGAGGGGCGTCATCGCTTCCGCCATCGACGACGGCATCGCCTGGACATGTGGTGAATGGGGAGACAGGGAAAGGGAAGGAAGAAGTATGATGAAACTGACGTTTTGTGTACGGTGCATGACCACACGATGGACCACCATCGTTGATGAGAAGGCGGCATGGTTCACGAGGGTATGCGGGCACGGTGCTTACGGTGCCACCCCGGGAACAGACTCTCTCTGTCCCACACACAACACACAACACAACACACAGTGTGTCTCTCGTCGTCTACATCGACGTCGACGTCTACATCCAGCGGCTGTGGCTATCGCTCTGACGCTCTGCGTCCCGCGCATTCTCATGCGACGTTGATTGCTCTCTGCGTGGGTTCTCTCTCCGTGTTGTCTCTCCGGAAAAGTTGTTTGTTTTCTTGTTTTGTTTTTTTTTGTCTCTCCCTCTGTGCCTGTGTATCATGGTACACACTGTTCCCATCATGCCGTGGACATGGGACACAGAGTATACCGGGGCCGCTGGTAGCATCCTGAACTATAACAGTAATACCTGCAGGAATATTCGGGGGCGACAGTCCTGGACCCGTATGGGTACCACAGCTAACAGATACACTGGAGGATGTAACTCCGCTGCCCTGACATCCGACATGACCTGTACTTCCGGTACCTGCTTCTCCCTGCGCGGATCCTGCTTGGGCAGGAGGTCCCGGGGCTCCATCTGTCCCTGCTTCCTGTTCTCCTCCCTGCGGACCTGGTGTTGGTGTCGATGGTCTTGGTGGTGGAGGTGGGGGTGGTCTTGCTGGTAATACTGGAGATGCCGGTGCTTGTGGTTGCCCGTCAGGGCCTGCTGTGCTATCGTTCCTGCCTGCTGATGATGGTGAGGAAGGTGTGTCTGCCTTGTTGTTCTGGTCCTTCTTCTCGGTAACAACCTCTTTTTGTACCTCTGGTACCTTAACTGGTGGAGCTTGTGTTTTCTTCGCTGCAAATGAAGCAAAGAAGAACAACGACAAAATGATATAAAAAAAGGACACAAAGTGGTACAGAAAGAAGGGGGCGGGACGGTGGGGTCAGGTAGCGGCAGGGTAGGGTCGATGCAGTGGGTCGAGGTGCACTCGGTGGACTGCGTACTCGGTGCATTGGGTCAGGCGGCAGCAAGCGCACGGTGAGGTGGATGGTAGCAGTACAACTTTTATTTGTCGCCGTCATCTCGTCCGCCGTCGCGCTACACACTGGCCGCCCTTACCCCTACCGCTCCCGTCGTGGCTGCACACGTCCGCTTAACGAGGGGGTGCTGCTGTTCCGCCGCGGATGCGTGTTGTTGTGGCGGTCTTCCGTCGTGTGCGGTCGTATCGGTGGCGATCGTGTGCGTGCCGGCCGTGTTAGTATGAGGCCGTATGCGTACTATGCGTGCTATGCGTACTATGCGTACTATGCGTACCACGCGTACTATGCGTACTATGCGTATTCGTATTGCCCGTATTAGTAGCACTCTGTTGCTTTACTCTTCTTACCATTCGCGTCGTCCTCATGGCCCTCATCGTCCTCATCGTCATCGTCCTCATCGTCGTCCATGACGTCGTCGTCGTCCGAGTCTTCTGAGGGGGAGTCAGGCATTGGGGATTGAGGCTGTTCCCCGTTGCTACCACTTGCCTTCACGGCCTTCTTAATTTCTCTGAATATTGTAGCCAACCCTGTGCTTAGATTCTTCGCTGCACCTACTACGTGCTCGTGTACTTTATCTCCGTTCTCCGTATTTTTCGCACCTGGCCCCTGTGTCGGGAGTTCTCCTATTTTACGGCTACAGTTCGTACTTACACTTGCGTTCTTTATTGTGGTCCTTATGCTGTCATGTGCACGTAACCATTGTTTAATACTTTTTTTCATGGACCATCCGTGTACCTGAATATCTGTTCCCATTGCCCTGTGACATGTCCCCGCATGTATTAAGTTGCCGCCGAACAGTTGTACATGGTTCATGTGCTGCATGGTGTGCCATGCATACGAAATGCCCGACGGACTGTTACACGCGGATTCTTCCAATAGATGCATAAACATATTTACAATTCCGCATCTGATAAAATCCTTCAATTCTCTGTTTCCGCCACTATCATCTTCCATATCCGTGTCTGGTGCTTTGCTCCAACCATTTGCAAACCACAATGCCCTTGTCATGAGTGTGCATATAATTATGTCACCCATGCTGGGAACTGCGTCGGTTGTCTCAGTCGGGTAATCCGGGTGCTGCCATGGAGTGTTGTTGCAATTCGCAGAATACATATCGTCCATTCCATCCTCATTCAAATGTTGTATAAACTTCTGCAGTTGTGCCTGTGTATCCTGCCATAAACTGTGCTACAATTGGAGTCATGCGGGGGCAAGTACATCTATGTCATTTTTATATTTTCACAGGACGATGCTCACTTTGCCCTGTCCTATATTACATTCTAGTTCTGGGATCCTATCCTCACATCGGGCATATGATTTCCCGTTCACGAAATGTGAACATATGTATGCTGCAAACTGAGTACCCGGCCTATCGACCACCTATATATATGTGTAGGCGCCTGCTCACTCCATTTTGCCCTCACAATAAATTACCTTATACTGTTCCTGCAAACCCCCTAGACCTCTTATCCGCACATAATGTGCTAATACATCCCCTAACGTCTCATACGACATATTGTCACTAGCATGAAGCACTAGTGTGCAACGGATGAAACCATTAGCTGTCAAATAACGGCTTGAGTATAATATGGGCACAATGTTCTCTTAGTTATTATTCAGATTTGTAGCGCATGGAACATGTCTTGCATTATAGGGTGCCTTCGGCAACATGTCCCATGAACAAAATACCCCTACCTGCATTTAATCACATATCATACAAAGCGTGGGATGAAAGGAAGGAAAAAAAGAAGAACAAAAAAGGGAAACAAAAACAAAAAAAAAAAACAAAAACACAGCGACCAGCACAAAAACAAAACAAAACAGCGACAAGAACAAAAAAAAAAATCAGCAACAAACAAAAAAAGAGCAACAAAGAAAAAAAGAGCAACCAAAACAAAATTGCAACCAAAAAAACAATTGCCACAAAAAAAAAGAGCAACCAAAAAAAAAGAGCAACCAAAAAAAAATTGCAACAAAAAAAAAGGAGCAACCAACAAAAAGAGCAACAAAAACAAAATTGCAACAAAAAAACAAGAGCAACCAAAAAAAAATTGCAACAAAAAAA